AGTGACCAAGTGGCCAAGTGACCAAGTGGCCAAGTGACCAGGTGACCAAGTGACCAGGTGACCAGGTGACCAGGTGACCAAGTGACCAGGTGACCAGGTGACCAAGTGACCAGGTGACCAAGTGACCAAGTGACCAGGTGAAAAAGTGACCAGGTGAACAAGTGATCAAGTGACCAGGTGACCAAGTGACCAGGTGACCAATTGACCAGGTGACCAGATGATCAAGTGACCAATTGACAAAGTGACCAGGTGACCAAGTGACTAGGTGACCAGGTGGCCAAGTGACCAGGTGATCAAATGACCAGCTGACCAAGTGACCAGGTGACCAAGTGACCAAATGACCAGGTGACATGTGACCAAGTGACCAGGTGACCAGGTGACCATGTGACCAGGTGACCAAGTGACCAAATGACCAGGTGACCAAGTGACCAGGTGACCAGGTGATCAAGTGGCCAAGTGGCCAGGTGACCAAGTGACCAAGTGACCAATGACCAGGTGACCAGGCGTGCATGTTCTAGGATTCTAGGCACACGAGAGATGGCGTGTTTTCGTCTACGCCACACCGACATGGAATAAAATGACACAGAACTGCGACTGGTATTATGTCGGGCTGTTCTTACGGTGCATACGTTGCCTTTACAACACTATTGTGTGACGTATACAGACAGTACCAACAATATGGGCGTCCTCTAAACAGTGTGTGTGCCGTAATGACACTATTCCCGTATTGTTCCCTTACTTACAGTACATGTCCCACAATTGCGACACATGTCCCATAATTGCGACACATGTCCCCATAATTGCGACACAGGTACCATAATTGCGACACATGTACCGTAATTGCAATACATGTCCCGATCTTGCAACACATGTCCCGTACTTGCAACATGTGTCCATAATTGGCAAAAACATGTTCCGTACTTACAACACACGTCACGTACGTGCCACACAAGTCCCGGTTATGTTCGTTACTTTCCGTCCATGTCCCGTACCTTCAATAAATGTCCCGCAATTATAAAATGTGCCAAAATTATACACACGTGCTCTAATTACAATATGTGCTTTGGTTTCAACCAGTATTGTGTGCAGTTCAATAATATGTTATGTCTTATGATTAATATAGGGGATGATGTGGATACATTTGTCAAGATAACGGGGTGAGATGGTCGTACGGTCGCCCCAGGTAGGTCAAGATTTCTCATGGTCAAACAAAGATTTCTATACCACGGGAGAGAGTGGGAGACAGGGAGAGGAGTGGACGGTGGTCAAGTTCAGCATTCCCAAAATGGTGGTCCGCGGACCGTCTTCGGTCCACAAGCCTTACGTTAGCGAAAATATCATTAATACATCTGCCACCGGTCCCTGTACGCCAAACTCAACACATGTCTAGTTGGCTGGACAGTGGTCTAGTTTAGTGGACAGTGGTCTAGTTTAGTGGACAGTGGTCTAGTTTAGTGGACAGTGGTCTAGATGAGTGGACAGGGTTCTAGATGAATGGACAGTGGTCTAGATGAGTGAACAATGGTCTAGTTGAGTGGACAGTGGTCTAGATGAGAGGAAAGTGGTCTATTTGAGTGGACAGTGGTCTAGTTGAGTGGACAGTGGTCTAGTTGAGAGGAACGTGGTCTAGTTTAGTGAATAGTGGTCTAGATGAGTGAACAATGGCCTAGTTGAGAGGACCGTGGTCTAGTTGAGTGGACAGTGATTTAGATGAGTGGACAATGGTTTGGATAAGTGGACAGTGGTATAGCTGAGTGGCCAATAGCAAACTATATCCTATAAATTTAGTTTAATCCTGGAAGTCAAAAGTGATATACACCACCCCGCTGCAACAAAGCGCTGCTCCATTCGTCAGACCAACTGATCCATTGTTGCCATGGTTACATACCCCAACATGGGTTTAAAGACCAGGTAGATTACAAGAATTGCACGAGATAAAAGGGAAACTCCTGTTAACGTGGAGGGGGGTGGGGGGGGGGGGGTTGGTTGATAGGAAACTCAATCCAAAAAGGGAAACTCCTGTTAACGTGGAGGGGGGTGGGGGGGGGGGTTGATTGATAGGAAACTCAATCCAATAATAGTCTTGCTGTTACACCACATGCACATTTGTGGAGAACACTGACGTCGTTGTTTTATTGTGGTGCACCATTAACTTGGGTGTCTCAACTATGCCAGGGAGAGTATGTGTATGTATGTGTGTGTGTGTATGTGTGTGTGCGTCTGCGTATGTGTGCGTGTGTGTGTGTGTGCGTGCGTGCGTGTGGAGTGGGTGGGTCTATTCATGTGTCAGGTCACTGAAGGAAAATGTGATTTTTTAGTTTCATTGAATAGATATGTCTATGGAGTAGTTTCAGTTTAAAGATATGTGTATGGGATAGATTAACGTAATACATACCATATATATGGGATTGTCTGTTTTAAGTAACTGACATGGTGCAGTGTGTTGACGTCATTTTAATTTCCGTTTTTTGTTTTGTTTTTTTTTTTTCCTTTTTTTTTTTTTCAAAGCTGTCTTGTTTAAAGTTCTTTGACGTTAGTTTTCTTAAAATTCTTCCCATTCATGTTAAACAAAGGTGACCATTCGTATTGGGTTTAGAAGGACGCTACTGAACTATTGGTACCTATGTCCTGGTTTGTCTTCACCTGGAACCAGTGCATTTTAAGACACTTCAAGAACCATGTTTAATTTATTTATTTTTTTGTAATTTATCAAAATATCGAGTGCATCTAAATTCAGGCATAAATAAATAAATTACACAACTACAAGAAATAAAATAAATACAAATTGGCACCAGGATAAACTTTTGTATTTAAAAAAAGAACGCCTTACTGACAGAAGAGCTCCCCGCGTAATCACACACACACACACACAAATGTTAATTTTTGAATAACCATGGCGCCAAACGATTTTTATATGTGAACATTTTTTAATGTCTTGGTTTTGATTTCAGAAATAATGATCACTTGAACCAACTTTCCATTCGTCGTGGAGTGGCGAGAGCTTAAGATAAATAGAAAGCGTAATTTCTTTTAAAATAAAATTTAAAAATAAAAATAAAA